GGGAAAGAGAGGAGAGATAAAGAGAAAATTTTGAAGAAACGGGTTCAATCAGTTTGGTGGGTGGTGATGATCATGGTAGAGAGAGAGAGAGAGGACCAAGCATGAGAAAAGGGAAAGACAAAGAACAAGCCCATGTGATTCCTCCAGCTCTCTTTCTCGCTCTATCTTTATTTTCTCCCTCCCTCTCTCTACTTTCCGCTTTCTTCGCCATCTTCCTTCGGTTTTTGTTTTTTCTTAAATTTTCCCCTTAATTCTATAAGTTACAGAAACACCCAACCTGGTTTTGTAATTACCTACCCAAGGATTTGCATTGTTTGTTTACGGCGATTACAGCATACTTTTATATATGTGTGTATATATATATATATATATTGTACGAAGATATATAAATATACATACATATGATAGTGGTGATTTTGATTTGGAAAATATTTGGCAAGAAATGGCGTATGATTAATAGGGACAAATTTGTCAAAGATCAATGTTGACCATTTGACAAAAGCCTCAATGTTATGCCCATTAGATGACTTGAATGATTAGCTAATAGTATAGCTTTACTTATTGTGTTTTTTCTCTTTTACATCTGTATATTTATTTATTGGAAACATGCAGATAAATCAATCATGATAATGGTGGTACCATCATTGACGAAACCATATATATATATATAGTTTTTTATTTTGCTTTTTGTTCAATGATGCATGAGACATACACTTTTGGTGGTTTGGAGTTGAGTTATATCATTTTCAAACCATGTATAATGTATTGATTATACAATTTATATGTTTACATAACTTTCCTGCATAAACCTAAATTTGGATAGCTCAACCGTTGAAACGAGATGTAGTCTCGAGTTCGAACTTCAAATTTGGAGAGAAAATATATAATTCAAATCACATAATTGATGAGATTAGTTCTGGTTTTGGACCGAAATAATTAAATACCTATTTTTATAATTTGATTTATATGTTACTCTCTCTGTTCAAAATATTTGATCGTTTTAGTTTATTTACATGTTTTAAAATATTTGTCATTTTATATTTTAAAGATATTTTTTTTAATAATTTTCAATTTTATCCCTGTCAAATTCTAATAAATTATTAATAATAACATTGTTTTTATCAATAAAAATATTAAATATTCTCTTTTTAAAAAAATATTAAATAAATTAGTCAAATATTTTGAAATAGGAGTCGTTGATTAGATTTTTTAAATCTCATAATTATAACACTTGTATTTGTGTGTTATTAACTTACTTAAACCGGATCGGCGTGGGATCTCAAACAAACATATAAAAAAAACTAATCAAATTCGCTGTATCTCACATGAGTTAATCTCTCTAGCCAGCTTTAATCGCATGACAATTACAGAAAAAAAAAGGAAAATTAATAAATTAATTTGGGGTAAAAAATGAAACAATAAAAAATAAGGGGTAAAAAATGAGAGGATGAAGGTTGAAGGATGCGTTGGCAATCGGTGGGAAAGGTGGACTGGTCAAACTTGTAAAACTTCTGTCAATCCAGTCAGTCAATATTTTTGAACTCAACGGCCAGCCTGGCATAACCAACATTTTTATTAAATAAATGTCATCAGCTTAAGTATTTTCCACAGTGATGATTGTACATTCCATACAATGCACATCACCGTTCCGATGTTGACACGTGTACGTCAACTACCGGCTTACTTCTTATGAAAGCATATCCCTCTCCAAACCCAAAGAATCTTCATATTTTGCAAATTTAATGCAAAGAAGAACAACAAGAAAAACATAGATCGTTTAGGTTTATCCTGCGTGCACAAAATTTAGAATTTCAAAATAATTAATAAAAAAGTACCATTAACATAGTAAAATTTTTGTTATCTTTTATATTTGATGCACTGTAAAAAAAAAACAGCACCAAATAATAAATAATTCTTATTATTTCAAAACCAATGAAAACGTTCTTTTGAAGATAACGCAGCGTTCAGACGTCTAAATGGAATGGTTGAAATTTTGACACGTTAATTTTGGTCAAGATATGTTCAAAGATGTGATTAAGAAATGGAATTGAATACACAAATATTTTTTGGACTCGTCCACTCGTATCAATCTTCATGTGAATAGAACAACTGTTATTAATAATCAAGAAGACATAAAATGACAATATCTATTATTCAATGGATATATAATTCCCAATCCTTTTTCTCGATTTATTTTTTACATTTTTATAAATTCTAAAATAACATTGCTTTTATATTTGGTGGACCAAAGCATGTCCCTTTCTATTGGATTTTTTTTGTTTCAATGGAAAGCCCAAAACATTATTTTGGTGCGTCAAAAACCCATAACTTATTTTAATCGTCTAGGAATTATGGTGTGCGCGTTTGGACCTTTCGGCCCGCGGATAACTGTGGCCCACAATATTTATACGTGGCATCTTGGTATATACATCTCTTTGATAATCTGGCAGGTTATGGTATATTACTATATTATAAACAAGAAATTATTTTTTGCGTATGTGATGAACCAAGATTTCTGATCGCCACAAGCTTTGTTCCTTGGTATGATAAATTGGAATTAGCTCCTATCGTTTCGTATCATAATGACGGTAGAGATTATTTCAACATAACTATATCTATCTTTTTCATAATAAAAAAAACTATATTTATCATTATTTGATTCTGAAAAAAAAACCATCAGATACGAAAGCAAATTAACCACTCATGCAAAATACGTTCAAGGAAACTGGACGATTGCATTACTCGTCGGCGACTCTGCTGGGCCCGTCTTCTCCGGCGAAGGCACAGACATTACGACGGCGACGATCTCTGAGGCTTCCCCACTCATGCATGGAAAGGTGAAGCTTCTTGGCGGCGAACAGAAAATCGGATGCCTGAACGGTCGACAAGATCCCGATGATACTCTTCATGGTCGATAACCTGAGCTTGTCGGCTTCCGACACGATCTCTGCCAGAGCAGCTTCCTGCTTGTCCAATGCACGCTCCACCGCCTCGTGAGACCCTCCAACGGAATCCACGTAGTACGCCACGAGGGCAGCTGGCTTGTCCGACGTGTCCTCCTGTACGCTCGCCACGCGGCTCGTAAGCTTATCCTCCGCTTGTACAGTCGCAATATGTATGTCGTTGAGTTTCCTCATCTGGGTCGTCGTCAGCCCGCCAATGGAGCATCCTGTCTCGACCTCACCGATGACGTCGGTTGCCGGGGAGTAGTTCGGACACGACGACAAGTCGATGAATTTGGACAGGAACATCTCCGTCTCAGCTCCGCACAGGGCGTAGATGAGGCGGATGAAGCTCGAAGGACGACAGCCCCCCATCCAGAGGAGGGCGTTCTCCAACTGGCTATTCCATGGAGGAGCGAAATAAGGAGAGCTGAAACGACGAGCGAGCTCGTAACGTTTCCTCATGTATTGCTCGAAGTCCCTTACAATCTTTTGGTTCAACTCTCTGAGGGCTTCGTCGATACAGTTACGATGGCCCAAGCCATGGTTTTGGTCCACTGATCTGTGGTCGACGAGGGCATGTTTCAGGTCAACCATGTTCTGAGCTTGCAAGCTCATCCATGCGTCGAAGCAGCTCCTTTGTGTCTCATCGATATCTCCCCCATTTGAATTTTCCATCTCTCTAGTTCCGGCTTGCTGTTTTATGTTTTCGTTCGTTGGGCATGTGTTACCGTTTATGTATAATGGCAGCTGGATACGTATATATATACATAGCAGCAGCGGTTTTGACAAGTGTCATGAGAATAGCTGACTGCCCAAACCTAATTAAACTATGTGAAGCAAGACATTAAAATATGTGGCAGGAATCGTTGTAACGTCGATTTTCCGATAATAAAAATTGTATTCTCTAGCCAAAGATATAGAATGTAGGTGTCGCATCATATAAAATTGTATTGGTACGTGCACGTACAATGCTCATACACCCATCACGTTACAAAAGCAACTGATTATATATATATTCTTTCTAAAAAAATCGATATTACACTGACCAATCATATAAATTGTTCCATACATACATGCATAGGTCTGCATCTAGACGACCATTGCATCTCGTAGCTATCCACAGACAGAAGCTTATCCTCTCCCATTTTGTCTCCTTCTGACTTTGTCTCAATCCCTGCAACCTTTGTTATACCGCAGCAATTTTGTCACCTCGGTTTTACAAAAAAAAAAAAATTGTCACCTCGGAACCATATATCATTCAAAGTATGTTTCGATTAGAAAATATAATCGTACTCCCGGGATTTATTTAGCATTTGATAAGAGAAAATTCATTCATCGACTATGGTATGGTTGATCTCCCCTCCACGTCAGCAGGCAACAGAAAATTTTTTGTACTAGACGTGGCATACGTTTTCACCCAAATGAAGTCATAGTTACATAACAAATAAAAAAACACGACGTAACGGTTCAAATCATCTGTCGGAATCCAACAAAACTCTCCACACACGAATCATAGTTTGAGCCCAAAACCCGCGATTTATGACGTAGAAGCTTTTGCGACGTGCCACGTATCTTTTCTTCTTGATTAAGGTATTTTCTTTTTGCCTGTCCCTAGGCACGTGAAATACAAATGATAACACGATTGTTTTTATTTATTTTTTTAAAATGAGATCCCTTGTATAGAATGTGCGGTAGAGTATACGCTTTGGGATTTGTACATGTAAGAACTACGTGTTTTTAAAAAATATTGACACGTGCATACGGAAGGAAACTTAATATTCACCCTTCATCAATATTTTACTGCGCCGTAAAAAATGAGTGCGAAATCGAACAACGAATCGCCGATAGCTAACGGGCAACTGCATGAGATGGGGCATAATGTTTTAAAATGGTTAGCGATCCCTCGTGGTGACCGTTATGTACAAAATTTATATTTCAATATTGAAATAATAAATATATATAATGTGGAAAGAACAACATAAATTACACAAGGTTGACGGGTGTAAAAAAAGGTTGACCGGTGTAAAAGAGACGATGTTGGCATGGAAGCGGTGATTTGTTAGGATGATGACACGTGGCAGTGGTCTCCCTCATATTTCTGATTTTTCGTCGTTTATCTTAATTTTAATTTTAATGTATTATTTCCGAGGCGGCTTACAACTTTCTATTATTATTATAAGTATAATTAAATAATAAATGTATTCACTTATTATTTAATTATATTTACACTCATAGTTCTAGCTTTATTTATATAAATTTTTACAGTATTTGATTTTTGTGTTTATTCTTTAATTGGTAATGGTTTGTTTTATTTATCACACTTACCTATTTGCAAATTACATTTTATAGTCTCTTAAAAAAATTAATTATTTTCACTTTGTATTCTGTCTAAATGGGATCATGTTTTCGCTCATATTCGTTAGACATAATTGGCATGTGTAAATTCTTGGCCGACATGTCGTCGTTTCTGATTCTGATTAACGTTATCAAAATCATGCATGTACACAACATATGATTGATGAACGGTCCAATACACAACAATTTACCAATACCAATACACGTACATGTCAGAAGATATTCGATTACAACCATATATCAGACTCAGGTGATGCCTGCATGAAAAATACGAGGCAATGAGGAGCGAAATTAGCTACAATTATTTTTACTGTACCGGGGAAAAAGAATCGATCTTGTGAAACGCCGGACCGGTTTAGATTTTGGGGGTGCATGAGGGATGAACAACTAACTCCTGCGGTAAAAAAAAAAAAAAAAAAAAAAAAAAAAAA